CCTAAACCCTAAACTCTAAACTCTCAATCCTAAACCTCAACATAAACTCTCAGTCTTAAACCCTCAACATTAAACCCTCAACGATAGAACCTCAATGCCAAACCCTCGGCCCTCAATCCTTAACCCTACCCTAAATCACAACTGGAGGTCTTTGTTGATCAGGTATGATTATTATTTATAAGTCTGGGTGAGTGTGGCATGTTGAGGCCGCCACAGCAGGCGTAGGGCCCCAACCATTTCTATTGGGCGCCCCTGCAGATGCCTGACCCTTATTTGGGGCCTAGGCCTAGGAATTGCTGTAGGTTCGCTGGATCCTTTTCCAGGGGCAACGGTCCTTTCGTTTCTTTCCGGCTCTGTTGCTTCTGTTTTATCTTTATTTTGTCTCATTTGTTTCGTATTATTATCGTTGTGATTGTAAGTGCAGTTGTCAGACTCCTTAGAACTGGCGGCTCTTCGGATTTTTGTCCGTACAGGCACACATTCTGTCCATTTGGACTGGTGTCATTTAAGAGGCACCTGTTCACGTTCTTGGCCGCTACGGATCAGAGCTGAGCTTTGTGCGTAGTAGGACTGAGTTATTTTTCTCCTATTCGCACACAGGACGTTGTTGGCTTGTGTCAGCGTCCCGTGCCTGGCCCAGGCAGTGGGTGAGGCAGCATAGACATCTGGATGCCAGATTCAGATCCAGTCCACACCTTTTGGGCCTGGAGGTCACTGGACCAGGTTCGCGGCCTCACTGGTGGGTAGCCTGATCGAGATAGATCTTGATATCCCACGAGGAAGCCGCCCAGAGTTACATAGCTGAGCAGAGGGCTGGGCAGGTGAAATTGGCCATTCACATTCTTGAGGCCACCAGGCTGCTGCAGCACGGCGTAAGAGCAGATCTTCTTGCACTTGGCAGCGGTGTGTGGTGTGGAACACATACACACACAGAGCAACCGAGGGAGTGTGTGTGTGTGTGTGTGTGTGTGTGTGTGTGTGTGTGTGTGTGTGTGTGTGTGTGTGTGTGTGTGTGTGTGTGTGTGTG